ATCAGTTCCATTTCCCATGAACTTTTCTAAGCTCCCCTGCTTAGTGGTGGCCAAAGCACACTTGAAAGTAACTGAAACATCCCCAATCCAAGCCCAGGAGTCTAGAGCACGACTTTGGGGAGCTCCTTGGTACAGCCGCTAGAATCCTAGCAGGTTCCTGCTGTTGGCCTTTCACCATTGGTCTAACCCTGAAGTAAGCCCCCCGCACTCACTTGATTCTGGTATCTGTCTTGTCTCTGCTCAGCCTGGGATCTTAGAACCCTTGAAGAAATAGCTGGAGAAAAGAAACAGGTACTTATCTGAGAAAGCACTGTCTGAACACCAGTCAGACAAGGTCTTTGGAAGTACAAACATTTTCCATCTTAAACATGATGTGCAAGCATTGTGTGCTGCCTCAGCTGTGAGGCAGGTGCAGGGTGCCACCGGGTCAAGGCTGATCATTATTTCTGCCATCCGGACTGCTGGAGACAGGATCCATGACCCTGATGCCTCTTCTCTATCTTTGACATCTATTATTCTACGAATTTTTGATGTTTCAATCCATAGACTTGGGGGCGGGGGAAGGATAGCAGTGATTGTGAGAAAGCACTTTCTGTTCTCTCTGGGGCGTGTGATGAGTGCTGGTTCCTGAGCATGGCTGCAGTGGGGAGAAGCCAGCGAGGCATCATGCAAGCTGTGAGCGATCCTTCCATACACAGCCTGTGAAAGGCAGACGAAAGCCTTTCAAGATAGAAAGTGGTGGGTTTGCCACGTTCCCATTTCGGCAATTATCCTCGGGCTGCTCTGTTCTGTACAGTTATGGAGTGGTTATTTGGGATTAAAGGAGCAATTGAATCTGAATCAAAAATAAGTTTGAGATTCCTTGCCGCTTTGACAAACGTGTTATTACTGCCTTCGCAAAGGGGCATTTACCTGTCTGTCAGAAATAGACTTTGCTGTCCTATTGTGTGAAATCCATGGAACAGAATGAATGCTTGTGATAGGCATTTCCCAAGGGAGGCACGAGCCTTGCCACAGGGTGGGTCCCAGCCTCTCGGCAGCACCTGCAGCAATGAGCAGCGCCCTCGGACCTGCGTGCTGTAACAGCAGAATCCCACCCATCTCCTTCATTTCCAAGGCCTCTGCTGCTGCCTTCCTCATGTACAATTCGAGACCTTCCAACTGTTCCAAACATTCTCTATTTTTTCCAGGGAAAAAATACTTCGCATTTAAAGAAGGGAAGTGTTTTCGTCCTGTGACTGCACAGTCCCTACCTAATTAGTCCACACAACTTGGGTTCCCTTCAGTTTCTGAAACGTGTTCAGTTCAGAGTTAGCATCCACCATCCTCTGAGGTGTTCAATGCTCACACTGTCAACTTTTACACTGCACACAAAGCTTGGAAGTGTGTGGCCCAGAGCCAGCTCTGCTATGAGTGCTAATCCCTGAGTAAGTGCCTACTTGATTGATTCGTCAATGGGCCAGCAACCATAAACAGGAGGCTGTGGGGGGAGCAGGGCTCTGCTAAGGCAACAACAGCAGCACCACAGGCCACCTGGGGTCCATGGGAATGGAAAAGCAGCTGCTTTCTGCAGACAGTGCTGAGTTCTGCCAAGAGGCAGAGGCAGAACCAGCCACGGGGAGAGAAGGAATTGGGTGGTACAACAGGATGTGCAATGATCAAACCTGAAGCAGTATAACAAGAGCCCAGTCCTACGGGATTCTGATTCAAGCCACTGGGGCTTTCCAAGCCAGGCCAGCCGAGGGTGACAGGCCTCCCACTGACCTGCAGAGACTCCAATTAGTCACGCAGCTACGGCTACGGCCGCCCCTAGATCACCTCGAGGGTGCTCTCAAGTCTCAGTCACCTGCAGCAGAACGCAGTCTTCTCAGAACATGGCGGCTGGGAGCTTGTGTGAGGGGAACGCCGGCATCGCAGCACTGCAGAAGCTGAGCGGGAGCTGGCGGGGCAAGGTCATCCATTTCCTGTTGACGCTGTCCTGCTTGCCTGAGAGGTGCCCTGGATGCCTGTGACTGTGGGTCTGCAGCAGACTGGTATCCCAGGGAACTTCTGGCTCTGCCCTGGGCACACCGGGATGGCAGTGCGTTCTGAAAGGCAAAGGGCACGTAGCACAGGGACAAGCTGGGGGCCCCATGCGGGGGCCGAGTAAGCAGCACCACCTGCGTGCAGCTGGTCCGTGGCTCTGTAGAGACAAGCAGGTGAATCTGTGTGAACAGATTCCTGTTGTGGCTGGGAAGGCTCTGTATGGTGAAGAAACAGTGGCTGCCGATGTGGTGTCACATTAAGTGAAATTGGAACCACAACGGCCAGGAGGGGCCCCAGCGTGCCTAGGCTAGAGAAAGCAGGGGACCGATGTGTGTTCACAGAGCAGAGAGCTCTTCACTCATGGCTTGCAGCTTCAGGAAAACCGGCAATAGCTCAGAGTCTCAGACAAGCGTCCTCTCTGCCTGAGCCGTCTCTCTGGGATAATCATTCCCTGTAAACCCTCTAAGATGTTTGCATAGCTTCTCTCCATGTCCATTCTTGGTGATCTGCTGTGCCATCTGGAACTGTCTAGGGAAGCCAGGTCACAGACATAACCCAAAGAGGAGGCATAAACCTCTCTGACGGCATGTGTGGGCTGTCTCTGGCACCAGAAGACTGTCAGGGCTGGGCTTAGAGAGCACAGCGCAGATAGGGGAGGGAATGCTGACACTTTTGGTGCTGGAGGCAGTGGAGACACAGGGTGATGAGGCTGATGATGCCATGGCTATATGTTGGGAAGATAGACTTGAATCAGGAAAGCAACTTTTGGTGGCTTGAAGAAGTTCTGTAGGGGACCAGCAGCACTGGCATCCCGTATGGGCAGCAGTTCAAGTCCCGGCTGCTCCACTTCCAATCCAGCTCCCTGCTGATGGCCTGGGAAAGTAGTGGAAAATGGTCCGAGTCCTCGGGCTCCTGCAGCTGCGTAGGAGACCTGGAAGAATCTCTTGGATCCTGGCTTCATTCCAGCTCCAGCCATTACAGCCAACTGGGGAATGAACAAGTGGATGGAAGATGTCTTTTTCTGTCTCTCCCTCTCTCTGTAACTCTGCCTCTCAAACAAATAAATGTCTTTAAAAAAAGAAAAGAAAGAAAAAAAGAACAAGAAGTAACCTGTAGGCAACTGGGTAGTCGGGGGGAAAGGTCTGCTTGGCAAGGACCTTGTTCCGACCCTGGATGGAGGCAGCAAGGGGCGTCAATCATCACCGGCAGGAGTGTCCTTCTGCCAGTTCTTCTTCAGCCTTCCTGGGTCACCACTAAAGCAAGCTCCTCCCCCTTTGCTTCCAAATGCCCTCCTAGTTCCATCCGGCTCGTTCCTCAGGGGCCCTCCCAGAGGGCAGGGAAATTGAACACAAGCTCCACGCAGGTTTGCTGCAGGAACCGTGATGGTTCCAAGTCCTGACAGCAAGGGACCACCCCTCTCAGCTACCACAAAGGGGCCAGTCAGCCCCAGAGGAAGCTTGAGGGCCTGTGGTGCCATTTTTAAAGACGAATTTCTAGTATGGCCAGTGATCTGTAAGATGTGGCATCTCCAATCCCAGCTGTCACACCTAGGGAATCAACCATCAAACTGTGCACGGTACAGAAAGAAAAAACTGCCACAAGAATTTTTCTTTCAAGATTTCTTCCTTCATTCGGTAACCCAGTCTATAATATGAACGGAGAAAGTCTGTGGCAGACATTGTGCAAGATGCTGGGAACCGAGAGCAGAAAGGTAGAGATCATCACTCTTGCATTCAGCAGGGTTAGTGGAGGATCTTCCTCCATCAGCACCCAGGCTGAACATGGATTGAGACCAGGACACCAATGTCCAACATCACTACAGGGGGCTCACAACTCTCCTCCATGTCTCTAATGCAACAGAGCCCTAACACCATGCTCCTTTGTTAAGAAAACCATAGCATGGCTGGCACTGCAGCTCACTTGGCTAATCCTCCGGCTCACTTGGCTAATCCTCTGCCTCGGTGCTGGTACCCCGGGTTCTAGTCCCGGTCGGGGCACCGGATTCTGTCCTGGTTGCTCCTCTTCCAGTCCAGCTCTCTGCTGTGGCCCGGGAATGCAGTGGAAGATGGCCCAGGTCCTTGGGCTCTGCACCCACATGGGAGACCAGGAGGAGGCACCTGGCTCCTGGCTTTGGATTGGTGCAGCGCACTGGGTGCAATGCGCCCGCCGTAGCGGCCACTTGGGGGGTGAACCAATGGAAGGAAGACCTTTCTGGCTGTCTCTCTCTCTCTCACTGTCTAACTCTGCCCTGTCAAAAAAGAAAAAAAAAAAAGCCATAGCAGGGCCATGCTCTACGCATCTAGGATTCTTGGTGATAAAAACACAAAGATCCTCTACCCCTGCCCAAGAGTCTGTCTTTCCAGTATGGCATCCTAGCAGCCTGCCCTGAGCCAAACAGTTGAGTGTCACATCTAATGACAACCACAGTACAACCACATGTCACATTGACTCAAAGCAGTGACAGGCAGAGTCAGATACCTTCATGCCACCAGTTACTGACTCTGTGAAAGTGGCCCTCACTCTGCCTCTGTCTCCCCTGATGAAAAATGGGGATAATAATCTCAGCCTCGGCCTCCCTGAGCGTCTAAGTACACCAAAAGGAGTCCTACAGAAAACCCTCACACTAGGGCTGGCACATGAGGCTCTCAGCAGGCTTCCGTGCCTCCTCCTCTCCCTTCTCCTAGCCCTATCCTAGCCCTCAGAGGGTCCTCCATGCCACGCAGACCTCCTTCCTCTACCAGGACAGAACTTGTCTTATCAAAACTCTCATTTCTCCAGTTTCTGTCCTTAAATAACAATGAGGACCGAAAGTCTCCTTTGGACCACAGGTCTGTGAGTCCCCATCGCTCACCCTGTAGATCCCTCCCACACAGGGGGGAATGCCCCAGGGGAGGATTCTTGGAGGGGTAGAACTCTGACAAGAGAACGTTAAAAGACAAGAAGACACCAAAGGCCCCCTCAGAACTCTTCCCGCCCCCCCTAGCCCACCAGAGTCACCTCTCCAACAAGCCCAACAAGACAGCCTTTAGCAGTGAAGCAACAACTCCAAATTCCTCCACTCACAGGGCAAAGTGATAAATTCTCCGTGAATTCCCTTCTCCCATCCTCCCCCTTCCAAGACAGCACTCGAGGGTGGATGAGTTGCTTGTTTGTATAGTACTGCCTCCTGATTTTATAGCAAATTAAACATGCACACATTATAAACAAACAATAGATGTCTCGAGAGCAAATATACAGCTTTCAGACCCCTCATAAATTCTTCAAGAGGAGCTCTTTGCAGTTTATAGCCTCAGTGCAATTTTGAGTGAGTTACAGCCCCATGTGGGGTGTCTGGAAGAGCTTTCTCATTTCAGGGGCTTCATAGCAAGACTCCATTCTCCCATTCTGCAGCAGATTCACTTAGGATTGGGGATTGGTGATGTTCTCGTCTCACGCTGGCTCACCTTCTCCTTCTCTCCAGGCTTTTGGATTTCTTATAACATTCTCTTTTTTTAAACAAACTCAATACTCAGGCCTCACCAAGTCACAGAATGCTGGGACAAGGGAGACTGTGCCCGCCCACTCACACTTTCTTCCCTAATGTTGGATGTGCAGAGGTCAAGGCCCAGAGGTTGACTATAAGGTATGGGAAACTCAGACTGCTCTTCCTACTCCCACACACTGCTGAACCCCCAGCATAACAAAACATGTCTGTGGCCAGAAGGTGGATTATCCTCCCTACACACTGAAGAGTTCTGCATCACACATCAGCCGGGTGTCCTCAAAGTCAACTCTATTCTGACGCCGTCTACCTGGAAACCGTGCCAGGCCCTACAGAGGCTCACTCCCTGAGACTTCCTCCACTGCGGACGCCACTTGCAAGTTCTGGACCGTCATCTGTACTTCTGACCCACTGGCCCTACAGTGGGAGCTCCTGTGACCCCTTCCTAGGTTTGATTAATTGTCTCAGAGGGTTCCCAGAACTCAGGGAAACACATCGACTTACTGAATTGTGATGTTAACAAATAATCTGATAAAGGAGATGGATTAGCAATCAGATGAGGCAATGCATAGGGCTGGTAAGAGGAAGCGAGGAAAGGGCTCAGAAATCCTGCCTACTCCAGGTGCCAACCCAGTAGTTCAGGGGCCCTCAGAGAGGCTCCATTACATAGACACCACCGATCATTATGTAAGTGGCCCAAAGTTCTAGCTTCTAATTGTGGTTGGTCTGTCTGGTGACCAGTGCCAGCCAGTAGCCCACCAAGAGTCATTGCAATAGAAAAAGACAGCTCCCATCACCTGGGACAGTCCAAGGGATTAGGAACTTTGTGAAAGACACTGGAGTCAAAGACCAAACATTAGAACAAAAAGATACACTTAGTATCCCTCCTACTCAAGAAATCACAAGGGTTTCAAGAGCACCGTGGCATTAGCCAGGAACAGAGTCAAAAAGACATTCACTATATCACAGTTACCACATTGGGTAATTTGTCAGTGAATGCCCCAGCCAAGACTAGAACCCAGGTCTCCCGATGCCCAGCTCAGGGCTCTTCCTAGCATGTGGTGGGCCTCAGGAATCTGACTTAAATGAAGGAGTTTGTCAGTGCTTGGAATGATCAACACTCTGGATATTCATGCACTCTAAAGGCCAGGAAAGCAGATAAGGAAGCTAACTGGAAGTTGTGGGACATGGAGTCAGAACACATCAGGACTCAGTGGAAGCAGAGGGAAGGGAGCAGTGTGTGGCCAGATTCCCATTTTTGAAGGACAGAGGAGACACATGGACAGGCAGGACAGGTCACAGCATGCAGATGGATGGGAAGCACGGGTATTTCCAGGCTGGATCTGGGAACTAGTTTGCCCTAAAACATTCCTCCCTTCTGGGGGCAGGTTAATCACCTCTTTAAAACACGCCCTTCACATCATTCTTTGTTCTGTGTTTTGGAGCAGGTCAGCAGGGCACTGTTCAGGCAGGCCCTGGGCTGGATAGTTTCTGTCTCAGGAGACACCAAGAGAACGTCCCACCACACACAGTAAATGTCAGCTTGGAGTTTCCCAGCAGGCTCCAGGTGGCCTTGGCGGGGCAGTCACTAACCTAAGTAGGTGCTTGGATTGTCGCTCTAGCCCTGCAGTAGTTGCATGAGAAACTGAGGCTCAGGAAGGCCGGCTGACCCAAAATGGCACAGCTGTAGCCAGGGTACTCTAACTTCTTCAGCTCTGCCCTTCACACTGCCCCCTTTCAGTGCTGCTGAACCTACCAAGCTTTGCCCTAAACCACCTCCATGGCATTCCTGCCTTCCTAAACAACAGTACAACACGTGAGGATCTTTTAAAATTAAATTTTATTATTTGAGAATGTTGTCCTGATGATGTCATGATACCTCTTGAAATCTTTGTCGAAACTTGAAGAGCTTGTCAAACTTGGGGTTGAGAATCACTGTGACTTCAGATGGTTTGGCTTATGAAGCTTGATTAAATCCTTTCCAGAAAAAGGGGGGGGGGGACAAAATAGCAAATTTGTTTTTTCTGGATATTCACATGCAGAAGAATGAAACTGGACCCCTATCTGTCACCACTTATAAAAATCAACTCAAAATGGATTAAAGACTTAAATGTAATACCCAAAACTATGAAACACTTGGAACAAAACATAGGATAAATTGGTCTGGGCAAGGATTTTTTTGGATAAGACCTCAAAATCACAGGCAGCAAAGGCAAGAAATGGATAAATGGAGTTGTATGAAACTAAAATGCTTCTATAAATCTTTATTTTTATTTTATTTGGAAAGAAAAGAGACACATAGAGAGAAAAAGAGACAGAGACAAAGAGAGATCGTCCATCTGCTAGTTCAGTCCTCAAATGCCTGCAACTACCAGGGCAAAGCCAGGAGCCTGAACCTCAATCTGGGTCTCCCAGGTAGGTGAGAAAAACCCAAGCACTTGAGCCACCACCTACTGCCTCCTAGGGTTCCTGTTAGCAGGAGGCTGGAATCAGAAGTGGAGACTGGACTTGAATCAGGCACTCTAATATGGTGTTTTTAGCTGCTGCACCAAATAGCCTGCTCCTCAGACTAAAAAGTATCTGCATAGCAAAAAAAATCAACAGAGGGAAGAAACAACGTAGGGGTTAGGAGAAACTGTTTACAAACCATGCATTTCTTACAAGGGATCTAACAACCAGACTATATAAGGGACTCAACTCAATATTAAAAACAACAACAACAACAACAAATAATCCAATTAAACATGGACAAAAGATTTAGACATTTATTAAAAGATGACATACATGAAAAATTGTCCAACATCACTGATCATCAAAGAAATGCAAATCAAAACCACAGAGGTATCATCTCACCCAGTAAGAACAACTTTTATAAAAAAGACAAAAATTAACAAAGGCTAGCAAGAATGTGGAGAAAGGAGACACCTCACACACTGTTGGTGGGAAAGTAAATTAGTAACCCATTTCTGGAAAACAGTGTGGAGGGTCCTCAAAAACTAAAAACAGAACCGCCATACGATCTCACCATCCCACTGCTGAGTACATAGCCAAGGGAAATGAAATCACCGTCAGAGCCATCTGCACTCTTGTGTTCATTGTAACACTGTTCATCATAGCCAGAATAGACACCAACCTCTGTGCTCATCAATGAATGCATGGGTAAAGAAAATGCAGTATACTCCACAGGAATATGATTCGGCCTCTTAAAAAGAAGGAAACCCTGTAATTTGCAAAAGCATGGATCCACCTGGAGGACATAATATTAAGTGAAATAAGCCAGGTACAGAAAGACAAATACCACGTGACCTCACTCATCTGTGGAGTCTAAACACTTGAACTCAGCAGAGCACAGAGTAGCCTAGCTGTCACCAGGGACTGGAGAGTGGGGAGACTGGGATGTGGGTCAAAGGGTCCAAGTTTCAGCTAGGTGGAAGGAATAAGTTCTGGAGACCTATTGTGCAAGATGGTGACTAAAGTAAATAATAGCATCTTGTCTACTTGAAAATTGCTAAGAGAGTAGGCTTTAAGTGTCTCCTCACAACACATAATGTGAGGGGCCGGCACTGTGGCAGAGCGGGTGGAGCCACCATCTGCAGTGCCAGCATCCCATATGGGCGCAGGTTCAAGTCCTGGCTGCTCCACTTCTGATCCAGCTCTCTGCTGTGGCTGGGGAAAGCAGTAGAGGATGGTCCAAGTGCTTGGGCCCCTGCAGACATGCAGGAGACCCAGAGGAGGCTCTTGGCTCCTGGCTTTGGATTGGCGCAGCTCTGGCCATTTTGCAGCCAGTTGGAGAGTGAAGCAATGGATAGAAGACCTCTCTCTCTCTCCCTCTCTCCCTCTCTCCCTCTCTCCCTCTCTCCCTCTCTCCCTCTCTCCCTCTCTCTCTCCTTCTCTCTCTGTGTAACTCTGACTTTCAAATAAATATATAAATCTTTTAAAAAAATATAATGTGAGGCTGGCACTAAGCCACTGCCTACAGTGCTGGCATCCCATATGGGCACCTGTTCAAGTCCCGGCTGCTCCACTTCCTATCCAGCTCTCTGCAATGGTCTGGGAAAGCAATAGAAGATGGCCCAAGTCCTTGGGCCCATGCACCCATGTGGGAGACCTGGAAGAAGCCCCTAGCTCCTGACTTCAGATCGGCACAGCTCTGGCCGTTGTGGCCATCAGGGGAGTGAACCAGCAGATGGAAGACCTCTCTCTCTCTCTGTCTCTGCCTCTCTAACTCTGACTTTCTGATAAATAAATACATCTTTAAAAAAATAATAATGTGAGGTGATGGATATGTTAATCACTTTGATTTAACTATTTCATAGAACACACATATCAAAATCACATTGTAATCATAAATACATATGATTGTTCACTTGTCAACTTTAAAAACTGTTTAACCTTTATGTAGATGGAATCATGCTGTTATTTAAAAAAAAAAAAAAGTTGCGGGAAAGTACCCTTGGGATCAAGAACAGGCTGGGCTCTGCCTTGGGATGGATGGGACTCCAAGGACACTAAATGAAGATGGCAGTGCTAAAGGGAGCATCGGTCCTTCTGGTTCCTCAAGAGCTACTGGCTGGTCTGCATTGAGAAGCTGCTCTTATGAGAAGATGCCATGGGGCAGTTAGTTATCCACACCGTGCTCCTGCTGCCCTGTGAGAGCTTCCTGGCTCCAGGCCCTCCCAAGACAGAGCTGCACTTTCTTGGGGGATTCACTGTGTATAAATCCTCTGGAGGAGAAAGACTCCCAAGTTGTTTTCCAGACTCAAACACGTTCTCTTGATTAGAACCTAAATTCTTACATTACAAGGCATGTTCCTGCTGCCAAAAGCATTTGTTAATAAATGATGAGAGATCAGGCAGGATAACAATAGAATCCCAAGTGGAATCGAGTTGCTGTGAAATAACAGTATGCCCAAGACATTCTCTTAGCTCCTTAGCACTGATGCAGTTTACAAAATATCAGTCATTCTCCCAAAGTGATAGATCCCCTTGGACTAAGTAAATGGACTCCCTTTACCCGGGCCCTTAGCATCTGATCTGAGCAGACTCCAGCCCTTCAGCGTCTGGCCTGAGAATTGTATTGCTCATGGACACACAGTCCTGGGTCATCAGATAAATAGTGGTCCATGGGGAAGCCCCTCCCTGGGGCCTACAGTCCTTCAATATGAAAATGGTATTCAGAAGGAAGATGAAATCTGGGGATTTCTACCAACGAAGCACCTTGGCAACGCCTGTGGGGACCTAGGGAACCCAAAGTTACTGTTTGCAGGATATGTTGATGACATACTCTTGGTCTAAAATAACCATGAGTCCACGGAGCCTGGTCTTTTCTGGCATTGTTTAAGCTTGATGGTGACTTCACTTGTCCAAATTAGGATGCCTTCCTTCAGAGGTATCCAGGACACAAGTGCTGGCCATAGCAACACCTTGTCTTACGCTCATGTGGTAGCCCCTCCCGATGCATACTCCCCTACACGTTCACCCACTTCCAGGCCTGGTGGAGCAAACGTTTATCAAGAGTAGAATCTGTTTTATGAAGGGCTGGTTTTAATGACTACAGGGATGTGTTAACCTCCAATTTATCCTTTGCCTTTCAGCAGCAAAATTTGGCTGCATGAGAAGATTTCATAGTTCTATAAAAAAAGGCGGATTATAGCATGAAAAGCTTACAGCTATTCGGACTAAAAAGAAAAATTTAAGCCAGAGGTGGTTTAAAAAATCTTTCCCACATACTTTACGAGAACAAACCATCCTATCCATACCCAGGATCTTTGAGATTTGTAGCAGAAAATCCTCCTAGTATTTGATGATTTCATTCCCACAGGGAATGGCGTGTTTCAGAAGCATTATAATTTTTTCTGAATTTCTTTTCAGTGTTGTCCTTATTATTTTCATCATTGTTAAGTTAGGTACTGGCTTTTGCAACAAATGATCAAAAACTCCTAACCCTTAAGGCTCTCCCTAAGTAATCAGCACATCTAGAATGGATCTTATATTACCATTGTTACATTTTTGTTTCTATCAGACTATGACTCTCCTGATACTGGCAAACTCCCTCCACGTTTGTGAACAGAAAAGCATTCCAAGTCTCTATGGATCCCACCACCCGCTACACACACACACACACAGACACATACACACACGCACACACACACACACATGCACAGACTATCAGAAATATCATTTCCTGGAGATTTCCAACTCCAGAGTTGCTTTTGCTTGAACTAACAGGATCTCAGCCTTTCCTACCTTCAATCTTCTCTTGAGATAGCAGAAACTCTGCCAAGCTGGAATGAGGACTTCCGATGTGATGCATGGTGGTTTCTCAGTAATATGCACCAGCCCAGAGAAGCAGCATCATTCTGGGAATTACTGTGGGCTCCTAAAAGTAGGAACCAAGATTTACTTGACTTGTCATCCTCCAGCACACAGAAGAAGGTCATTGGCTGCTTGCTGAGTTTCAGCTGAGTCAACTGAAGAGGATGCTTCTAGCAAAAGCAACCAGATAGCCCAAGACTTGGGGTCTGGAATGTATGGTTTGTTCTGCCCTGACTTAAGCAAAGCAAGGCCATTATTCGGATGTGGTGGGTTGGGGGAAAAGGGAAGGAGGTGATGGAGTACTGAAAACGGAAGACTGTGGGTGTTAGGGAAGACACACACCGGCAGGTGCTGGCCATTCTAGTGATCCCTCCAGTTGTAGCAGGACCTTGGCCAGTAACCCGGAAGGAGGGAGTCCAGATGGGAGATTTCAGCACTTCTCCACCATCATCCCCAACAGGAAAAGAAGAAACTGAGCTGAGTGTATGTCGCCAAAGACAAGATAGAGTTTAAGGTAGATCGCAGTCATGGAGAGAGATTATGATAACCAGGCAACTATCAGACAGAGATAGAGGCAAGTTCCCAGTCTACAAAGCCTGCGACAGGAGGCAGCAGGAGTAGGAGGCCGCAAAGCAGAGATCATTCTTACTATTGCGAACATCAAGTCTGGAAGTGCAACTTTACTTCTATCCTTCCAGATCATGGGCGTCGGGCTACTGTCATAAGCTGTGCCCTGGTCCGAAATGGCTGGGATGGGTATGAGATTCTGGATTTCAGGTCAAAGAGGCTGAGTTAGGCCAAGACAGGTGGTGAGGAGCCTCCTGTCTCTGCCTGGCACGCTTCTCCAAAGGGTTCAGAAACATGGTCATTTAGGCACCAAATGAACTAAAACTATCTGGCAGAAGCATTATTAAAACAAGATCTTAGCTTGATTTCTTTTCTTTGTTATTATTTGCAGGAAAACAGAAGGTTGTAGCATGTCTTTTTTGTAGGCAGCAAATTCAAGTTCTTGGCTCCTTAGCATCTGGCACAGGTTTGGGAAGGTAGGTGAGTGGTTGGTTTGGAGAATCTTGCCAGGCATCAGCCATGCTCCTTTGGTGTAACCTGGCAACTGGATGATTTTATCAAGACTGTAAAAGCAAGAAAGCTGGCTGAATTGCATAAATCAGTGCTCTGGGAAAAGGTAAACTGGGGATTTCTGGAAGCTGGTGAGGAGAGGAAAAAGGAAATAAACTGCTCACAATGACCATGGCACAGGAAAAAAGAGAAAGAGGTAACAGATGTCATAATTGGAAGAGGAAAAGAGACTCAGGGTGCCGGGGATTAATAAAGGTTGTTCCTCTCAAAATCTAAAGTAAAGGACACGTAAAATCTCTGCCCTTCCCTCCCCTTGCCATCACCCAGCTCTGAGTTTTTAGAAATTAAACTCTGTACCCCTGGCGTCATTCACTTTTCATCCCCCTCCATAAAGCCCTTCATATCCACTTACAGCTAAACCCAGTTCCCACTCCCAGCCCCGCCTACCACTAATCTCCTTTCTGCCTCTGAAAAATTTTCTTTTCTGGATGTTTCATAGAAATGGAATCATTCCAGTAATTTCAATTTAAGATAAACAGTATGATTTAAGTGAATCAGAGAGATGTGACAGAGCTAATGGGGGGAGGAGAAGGACCCAATTTTATTGAGACTGTGGGAGAAGAGCTTCCTGGGGAAAGCTGACAGTGGAGCTGAGATATATCTCTGCAGACACATGGGGGCATATATTGTGAAGAGCATGAGGTGGAGTTTGTTACGCAATATAAAATGCACTAAATGACACCAGTACACGAACTTGTGGCTCAGAGATGGTGTGAGGGTTACTTTCCTTTGCACCAATAATCACCTCATGGCAGCAGTCATGCCTCATGGACTTCTGGAAGAGCACAGTCTTGCGGAGAGAACTTGAGAAGAGAGTGGGAGACAGTGGAAAGGGATAAAGAGGTTTATTTTCCCCCTAAAGGACACGGTCCTTAGGTTCTGAAGACAAACTAAGCCCAGTGCCTTCCAGGAATACTCAGACACAAGGAGAGATGGAGCCAAAGAGAGTGTCCACCTCAACTCCTCCCCCGCCCCAGAAGCTAAGCCAGGGTAGAGCAAACTTTCAGCCATCAAACAGAACTGGGCACACAAGGATTAAGACTTTGGTATCAGACTGGTTTTCAAATCCCAGTTCCTTCCCTGTCGCTCCCCCTCTTCGTGGAGGAACGACACAGGACCCTGCGCTGTTCTTTTGTCTGCTCGGCCCTCCCCGGGTTTGCTGCTGGTTCTTCCCGGGTTGGCTGCTGTCCCTTCCACCTCCGTGGAAGGGCGGTTCCCCCTGGCCACTTTCCCCACTTCCGCAGGGGAGCGGCACACCGCCAGCTGGCTCTCTCGGGGGCTGCACAGGTGTTCCCTCAGATAGATGTTCCCCTTAGATGTTCCTGGTGCATTGTTGTCTCTCTCCTCCTTTATAGTCCTCTTCCACCAATCCCAACTCTGCTACCCACACGCCGAGTACGCTGCTCTCCTCCAATCAGGAGTAAGTCCTACAGTTTATCGGTTGAACTGGAGGCAGCTGTGTAGAAGCTGTTTCTCCCTTCTCAGTGCCATATTGTGGGAGAGCAGATGCATAGAATAAGTCTTAATTCCAGTAGTCTAGTCCGGGTTGCTCCCCACACTTCCCTTCTTTGCTTCTTTGCTATGGGATCTGAGTAGCCATTTTCTCATTTGTAAAATGCAAATTAAGACTCTCAACTGGTAGAACTGATTTAAGGATTAAATGTGGAAATATATGGAAGCAATTGGTCTAGTGCCTAACAACAACAGAAGCCCTCAATAAATGATTCTATTTGTGACTTTGAAGTGATGAGCTGCTGGCTCAAGGTCCAGATAGATAAAAGGAAAGAGGTGGTTATATACTATCTGGTATAAATTTGAACTACTCCAATTTCCACATTTATGTAAAGATGATATCAGGGCTACCACCAGACAGAATTAAGTAAAATGGCCTGTCTTTAGGAAGAATCCAGGGGTAAAGGAGACGATGAAGAGATTATGCAAGTGCAGGAGCTTAGAGTATAAGGTGGCTATGAGATTGGAACCCCTATCCAGGGAATGCACTAAACTACTGGGGGCCTCTTGGATATCTACTGAGATGGAATCGGATATGGAACCATGGTATCCAAACAGGCAAGAACCACAACAGATATCAGAATCAGGGGATTATCAGTATAAGTACTACTCCCCACTCCATCCCAATTTGACAGATGAGAAAAGTACTCATTAAGAGTTAGGCAGACAGGGGCTGGTGCTGTGGTGTAGTAGGTAAAACTACCACCTGCAGTGCCGCCATCCCATATGTTCGAATCCTGGCTGCTCCACTTTGGATCCAGCTCTCTGCTATGGCCTGGGAAAGCAGTAGAAGATGGCCCAAGTTCTTGGGCTCCTGCACCTGTGTGGGAGACCCAGAAGCTGCTCCTGGCTCCTGGCTTCAGATCAGACCAGCTCCTGCCATTGTAGCCACCTGGGGCATGAACCAGCAGATGGAAGACCTCCCTCCTCTCTCTCTCTGCCTCTCTCTCTCTCTCTGTAACTCTGCCTTTCATATAAATAAATAAATAAATAAATCTTTAAAAAAAGAGTTAGCCAGACAAAGAGATTGAAGGTTCAAGAAACCATGTGCCTTTAAAAACTAAAAACATAAAATGGGGGATGGGGCAAAAACTTGGTGGTTCCATGACTAGGGGAGTCTGGGGCGAATTCACCACCAAATTCTTTCTAGGATTTTTTTTGAAATCACAGAGATAAAAACCCTAAGAGGATTGTCCTTAGCTAGTAAAACCCATTAGCTGGATGAAAATAGTGCTGGCAGGATCTGTGTATTCATTGCTTGCACAGAGTCTCATCTCAGAGTTATGCCCAGTAAACCATTAAAATGAAATACAAGGACCCATCCATCACTTAGCCCTGGGATTTTTATAAGCTGGTATTAATTAGTACTGGCCCAAGAAAAGCCAGCAATCAACTATCTTCCCTTCCTATCTTCCAGGGGGAATGTTCACTTCTTCTCAAAATCTGGAATTTTTTTCAGAGGGCTGCCCTGTAAAGCCTACCCAACCGAGCCCAGCCCTAGAAGACAGCCCTGGCTTCTCTGAGCAGGAGACTGTCAACAGAGTTTCCATGATCAGTAGACTCAGATGGGCAGTTAGCAACTTTCAAAAGCCAAGTCTCAGCAGTCCTCAGAAATGGGTTTAAATCTTGGCTCTGCCACTCAAGCAAGCGACTTAATCTCTCTGTGCCTCACTTTCCTTCCTTGTAAAATGGGACAAACCATAGCTCCTACATCATTGGGTTGTTATGAGCACTAAAAAAAGACCATTCATGCAAGGTACTTGGTAGAGCACCTATCATATTGTAAATACAATAAAAATTGGTTAAAAGATTTTATTATTTTATTTATTATAAATAAAAGATTTTATTTATTTACTTGAGAGGGAGAGTTACAGAGAGAGGGAGAGACAGAGAGAAAGGTCTTCCATCCACTGGTTCACTCCCTAAATGGCCACAACAGCCAGTGCTGGACCCATCCAAAGCCAGGAGCCAGAAGCTTCTTCTGCATCTCCCACGTGGGTGCAGGGGCCCTAGCACTTGGGCCATCCTCCACTGCTTTCCCAGGCCATAGCAGAGAGCTGGATAGTAAGTGGAGCAGCTGGGGCCAGCGTTGTGGCTCACTTGGTTAATCCTCCACCTGTGGCGCTAGCATCCCACATGGGTGCTGGGTTCTAGTCCTGGTTGCTCCTCTTCCAGTCCAGCTCTCTGCTGTGGCCCAGGAGGGCAGTAGAGGATGGCCCAAGTGCTTGGGCTCCTGCACCCGCATGGGAGACCAGGAAGAAGCACCTGGCTCCTGGCTTTGGATGGGCACAGGGCCGGCCATAGTGGCCATTTGGGGAGTGAACCAACGGAAGGCAGAACTTTCTCTCTATCTCTCTCTCTCACTGTCTATAACTCTACCTGTCAAATAAAATAAAATACATGTATGTATATATA